AGCCTGGAGGAATTACAGAGCTAATGAAACAAACCCATCAGGTTTACTCCCACAACAAACATCAGTTTCCTGTGAGATAGATAAAACTACAGATGATTACCACAGATCCATGTAGAACAATTCCTTTTCTTAGAAAACGCAAACTATTACCTGAACTACTATATAAAAAATCCAACATCTCACAACTTTGGATGTCTATTAACTGTATTTTTTTTTTCTTTTTTACAAATAGATAAATAAGGATTCGGCTCCTAGATACAAGCTGCACACAGGTCCTGCTTGCAAATTAGTCACAGAAAAAAGCTATATTGTAAAGAATAGGAAGAAAACATGGATGGATGGATGGATGGATGGATGGATGGATGGATGGATGGATGGATGGATGGATGGATGGATGGATGGATGGATGGATGGATGGACATGTTTTTGGAAAAAAAAAACCATTCTCCTAGAAAGTTGCACGAATGAAAAGCGATGTTCTAAATGGTGCATGGTCATTTCAAATAAATTCAGCTTAAATATACTTTCCATTATCTAAGGGGATTATTATGCCAATGACTGAACATTGTACGGCACAATATTATTACAAACATGCAACAAGTGATATTAGTGAGTATTGCAGTGATAATTTGACTTGTGATAGACAATTAAGCATTTTAAAGCTGTTCTGCTTCGGGCATGTATTAAAGAAATGCCCTAGACAATAAGTTGTCTCCTTAGCTACTGGGAAATTAGATTTAATATTTCGTTCTCAACAACAAGTTTTTATTTTCATTAAAACCTCTAAGACACATGTTTAACTTGATAGAGGTTAATAAATGATTTGGCACGACTTAATTGTATTTTCCTAGTGAACTAATCACCGTACTGCTATTTCACTTTTTAATAAACTTTTATGCTGCATTAAATAACAAATGGCACCATATATTTTACAGGCACAGAAAATCTGAATCCAGGATACTTTAACAATAAGCAAAAACTTACTGCAGGCTTCATAGTGTACATCTCTAATTATGAGCAATTATACTGAGAGTAAACCTTGTAGTTAGGACTGCAAAATAAAAATGTTTACATATTTCATCATGTTATGGTGATATGCATTAAAGACTCCTGAAAATACCATTAAAGTGGACCATTAGTTTTTGCAGCAACTAATAAGTTTCAAATTAGACACCAACTTTAAAGTCATCAGTGAACAGCAGTATTTGCTTTCTGCTCATTAAATTTGGTGTCCTAGTTCCTATTGGCTAGAAATGCAAATTAGCAAATGAAAACTAGATTTGTGCTAAATCAAAAAACGTTTTTTTGTTGTATCATGGCACTCTACCCAGCCATGCTGAGGTGGACTAAAAGCATTCCCTAAAGTATGTAAAAGTCCAAAGAATTATGAAGATAGCATGTTGATTTTTATTTCCATCCCCTCACCTCTTTGCAGGGAAAACAACACAGGATGGCATTTTATGCTTGTTTCTAAAAGGGTTATAGCTAGTTGTAATTGAGGGAGAGAAAACAAAAAGATTCTGCACCACGCTTAAGGTATTCCAGTCAGAATCAATAACACTGCTCCCATTAATTGTATGTAGTGGTAGAATAACTCTTGTAGGGTCCATAGTGCAATGCATAAGCATTGCTGCAACAACAAGCCCCCTGGTGCTATATGAGCCTTTGGATTAGATGTTCATGAAGGCTGGCTCTGGAGATGCAGATTTTGAAGACAGGACTGTTTATTTTTTCTAGCATTATGTAGGGAAGGGTTGTGCAAAAAGAGAACAGTTGCAGGGTGCAGGCATGTCTACTGTACAGAAAGCAAATGCCTGCAAACAACAGCAGTACACATCTGTACAAATGTCACCTCCTTGAGACAACCTTTATTGAGTTTAGATTATTCAAGATGGCATTATTCTTGGAGTCACCACAACAAAACAACGTTTTCACCAGAATACTATGATGTGAATCAAAGCATTCTGCAAAAATAACTACCATGGGGGTTGCAACAGGGGATGACGTGGCGCTATTTGCTATTGACGTGTGGGTTGGCTCAAAGGTTAACCCTAAAAGAAGAGGACAGCTTAGCCGAGATAAAGGAGCTGCTGAATCCAGCCCTCTAGGTTAGGTCCTGTGTCAGTGTTCGCCCAGATTAAAAGGAAGTGTAAAGGAAGCCGGACCTTGACATGGGCTGCAACTCTCATTGGCTCCCATTCACTTTGGCAGACTGCCCCACTCACCCTGCAGCACTTACACACAATGTTGCTGTCCATCTGTTGATTCTCTTATCAAGAAAGCTTTGTTGTGTGTGTGTTTGAAAGAGAGAGAGAGTTGTGTGAATAGCTGTTTTTACCTTGGAAGAGGAGTTTGTCTGAGCATAGATGAAATTGGAATAGAACTAAAGCTGTAGAGTCCAAACACACCAGTGCTGAGAACTTTTATTCACACATTAGCTGTGCATAAAAAAAAACAACTAAATGAGTCTCATCATGTTTTTCTCTAAACATCAGAGGAGACTTGCACTTGGAATCACCAAGGCAGAAAAATGCAATATGGAGAGGATAAAAAGACATCCCTGCCTAACTAGAGGTCCCAAAATCATCACAGTCACGTCGTTGACTGTTGTCACTAATACCCTGCATTTAGGGCAAGAGTCAATGCAATATCTTTAAATTCAACCCAAGTGAACATCCCTCAGGGAATCAGAGGCAAATATTTGAAGCAGACATCAAATGGATATGGATACAGCAATGCCCCCTGTCAACCCAACTGTGCTGTAATATTCAGTGTTTAAGAGTGTTGAGAATGCTTGATTACCCAGCGGGAAAACTGGAGAGTCAATCAGAATATGTTTATGATAGAGCGGGCAACCAAAACACACCTGTAGCTCTTAATATTAGTTTACACATTAATGGCTTCTGACTTAATGGAAGTTGTTCAAGCATAACAGCTTTTGCTCTCTCACTAGAATGTAAGGTGAATACGCAAACCTTTTTTTCTTCTTTTCTGGGTCTCTGAAGAAATTACAGGGGTTCTCACTGATAAGGATGCTGCTCATTTTACTGAACTGTTTATTTCCAGGATTGTTTGCTACACTATTGAAGATATTTAAAGTAATAAAATATTTGTTTTTTGCCTTTGTTACCCTTTAAATATAGAATAACCAACCAAGGCTTTTATTTTTTTCTTTCCTCAGTTATTTTGATATGAATATAAAGATGAGATATTTTGAACATGATGATGTTTTTCACTTGAAGCAGTAGACAGAACAAGCCACAACCCCAGACTATTTTTTGCAAAATTGCCAAAACTCGTCTTTTTTCTACCAGAGGTGAAAAGGGTTGTCGTTCGCAACTCTTTTAGAGGGAACTAACTGAAGTGAGGACAGGAAGCAGCAGCACTCACAGCTTCTGGGAATACCACAGTGACTTGTTCACTTTGGATGAGGGAGCAGAGAGATAACTGCTGGGAGCTTCGAGTTTGGAGCTGGAAGCTTTCACCATGTTGTGACGTTTCTATCCTCTGCCTGCCACTTTCCCATCACACAAGCTGCGGCCTTTTTCAACAGATCCTGTGGGAAAGTATGCTGTCTTTGTGGATGTGGAGCGCTGATTTGGATTGCACAAGGATACAGATAAATAAGAGTTGACATATCCTAGAGTGAGATATCTTTTCTGACCTCACTTTTAATTTATAGCAAAGCAGAGCTTCATCCAATTCTTAAAATGGCACATGAAATAATGACAAAAAAATGATTCTTTTTAATTTTTGTTTTGTTTTGAGGTTTTTCCAGCAAAAGAAAACTATGAAAAGTTGTACAGACTTTATGAAATGTCCATTGCCATATACTTTATTGTTTTCATAGGCATTTAATGTGAAAAAAACACACAAAAAAACACATTGTTCATAAAGGTCAAAATAAAGGATATAGTGATTTGCAGTTACGAGTAAACTGCTTTTCAATTAGGCCGAAATGTCAAATCTTGGTCTCAACCATTTATTCTGGGTTTTAGAGTAAAGTGGGCTTGTGTAAATAATGTTGTAAACCCTATACTGGTTTGCATAAATTTCACAATTAAGTCTTTATTTTTAATAATAATAATAATACATTTTATTTAAAAAGGCGCCTTTCTGGTCACCGTACAAAAGCATAAAAACAGTGTCAGAAAAAATAAAAATAAAAACATTTAAAAAATACAGAGGCTGTGACAGTGAAATTGATATTTAAAGAGAATAAGCAATCTTGAACAGATGGGTTTTGAGTTGCGTTTTAAAATGATCGAACAGAATTCCAGTGAAAGGCTTTGAAATTCACTATAAATGGAAAATTTTACATCAATCTCTTAAGGCTCAATGCTGTCCGCTCTAAAATAGGTTGGACCAATCACACGGGAGGAGGGCCCATAATGCAACCACGCTTTTCTGTAACCATAACAGTGACATATGCAGCGATAATATAATGATGTCTTCTATTAAAGGGTTGTTTATATCATTAAAACTGGCTGCTGGAAAAACTTTGCTTTTAATAAAGACGGATGCTTTAACATCACATCCGTAGTTAATGAATTGGTTTTAAACTGTTTCTTCTAACTCCCAGTCCAGCTTTTGGATTGGGGCTCTACCCGCTCCTTTCCAAACTAGTTAAACAAAAGTTTAACTATTGCAAAGTACTGTATATCATTCCATCCATCCATCCATCTTCTTCCGCTTATCAGGGGTCGGGTTGCGGGGATAGCAGCATCAGCAGGGAGGCCCAGATGTCCCTTTCCCTGTATATTATTATATAAACAAAATATGAAATATGAAATAAGTAAAGTTTTAGTACACAATTTTTGCCTGTTTATTTATTTAGAGTGGTCTATGTGTGATAAAGCTTTTCAAATATACATGACTTCTCTTTGGTCTGGTATGTGTTTGTCAAATAAATAACTATTACACCCTGAGTTGATCAGGGTTAAATGATCATTAAAAAATCCTGCTGATGCCTGTCCTTTTTCATTCCACTGTCCCTACAGTTTGCTCCCAGTTCTCCCGCGGGGTGTACGCCATCTTCGGATTCTACGACAAGAAGTCCATGAACACCTTGACCTCGTTCTGCGGTGCTCTGCACACCTCCTTCGTCACGCCCAGTTACCCCACCGATAACGAGGTGCAGTTTGTCATCCAGATGCGACCGGCCCTCAGGGGTGCGGTGCTCAGCTTGCTCTCCCACTACAAGTGGCAGAAGTTTGTTTACCTCTATGACACCGATCGAGGTAAGTTGAGCTGGGGTCTAAGTAGATTGAATTAAAGCAGAAAACCATGTTACAGTACAGAGAGTCGGTAAAGTTAATGCACAGCAGAATAATAGAAGTATAAAATCTGCTGTGTAATACCTCATGACAGCCTTGTAAAGAGTTGAGCTGATATAACTCAGTAATAGAATATTTTGCTTTTATGAAAATATAAAATACATTCACTTGCAGTGCATTGCACTTTCAATACTCTACTCCTCTGAAAGCAAAAGCACTTTTATGAGCAATAATCTGTGAATCCATCCAACAGTTGACTGGTTGATGCCAGTTAATCTCCTGTTTAATCGTGTTGTTGATATTGGCTCGTCTTTTCTCTGAAATGAGGTATGTCACAGCTGCTACTAAAGTGTTTCCAACCAAAATCAGACTCTCTGGTGGCCCGCGGGAGCTGCTCATTGTGTTGCTTCAGTAAGGGTTATGTGTAGTCCCCAGATTGCCTCAAATTGTGGATACCGTGTACATGACAACCTGTCAACAAAACAAAGTGTTAATTTCTTGGATTTATAATGTCATATGGGAAAATTAGGTCATTATCTCTCACTAGAAAAACAATCCGCTCCTCCTACATTAACTGCAATTTGTAAAAACATCACCTTGGCAGGGGGAGAGGGAGATTTTCAGGAGTTGACAGAGTCACAATATCTGTTCATAGGAATGCCAGAAACTGCCTTTCCCTCATGGAGATTTGATTTGCGGTTACTTTGTTTAACTATTATAGAGAAGCCCTTTCCTGTTCATTTAGAGCTGTGCAAAAGTATTATTTCCCTACTGCTTTCTTCTCTATAAGCTTTTATTGTCAAATGTTTCACATGCAAAACACCACAAGACAACCAAAATATTCCACATTATTTAACTAGTATTGATATTTTTAGGGAGTGGAGGAAGCTTAATAGTGCCAAGGGGCCTAAATGCTGCAATTAACCTCTTGTATATGAAAATAAATAAAAATAATGGCTGGAGGAACTGGCTGCCCCACTGGGCATTCAGCCCAGGCGAGATTTATTTTTATATGTATATAAAAAAGGAGGTTTAATTTAGGAAATACTTTTTGTTTAACTATTAGTGGTTCCAAAATGAGGGAATTCTCTTCATGATCTTGTCATTTGTAATGACACAGAGAGGTAAAAACCTGTGGTCCATTTAGCTCTGCAGTTCACTTGAACACAAGTAAGAGAAAAACAGCATTGCACATTGTTCCTGAGCAAATAATAGTCTAAAATATTAAGGATTTTTCCCATTACCTTAAAGGGTATGAAAGTAAGAGGTGGACGCAAAGTCCTGTATCATGAGAAAGTCTTGCATCAAGAGAAAACTTGAATTATTTTACAATATCCTGAATTAAGAAGTTATTTGTGCAATATGTTTAAACAATTTATTGTGCCAGCACTGTTACAAAGTGACTGAATAAATAAAAAAATATTTATCTTAATCTGGTGGGAGAAACTTAGTGCTGTTATTAGCGCTTTTGAACAGGTTATTGTGGTTGCTCTCAAAAAATGTTAAAACTCGATTTCATGACGTGCATTAAATCACAAAAGCAATATTCCCAGATTGGACTCACCATTGTTTCATGTTTCTGCTTTAGTATGCCTATTTTTTTTTACACAATGGGATTACTTATCTTGCAAAAAGCAGTGAGGCTTTAATTGTGAATGAACAGCTGCACCCTCTATTGGAGACCCTTTTCAGCTGGTTTATCAGTTAATCATATGGAGAAAATGTTTGTCATATAAACCGTTTATTGAAAAGTTGCTTACTTGTTTACATCTCAAACAGGCATACTTTAGATGTGGTTCTGGGTTGCTCTTTCACATTGTGCATAAGTCATCAATGCACTGCTGGAGTACCTGGGATATGTCTTCATATTCTACACTGCTGTACCATGGTTTCTCTATTTGTAAAAAATAACCTTCATTTTTTAATCATTTCATTTTTGCTCGAGTTAAAGGTTTTTTACCCTTTCCAAACAAAGAAATATAATAATTTTTATATGTAATTGATATCTTGATTCTACTGAATTGGCAATAATCAACAGAATGTCAACTATACAAAACTGAAGTGATTACTTTTTAACAAATGATTGTGTTGGTTTGTTATTGCTTTTTATACCCTTAGAGCAGGGGTCTTCAACGTTTTCCAGGCCAAGGACCCCCAAACTGATGGCGAAATGGAGCGGGGACCCCCTAATTATATATATTGTATGAAATTGTGTTATATCAAACTGGTCCTATAGTCACTCTATTACATATGGGGATTATTAAAGTATTTCTGATTCTAATTCCTGGTAGATGGGACAGGTGTTGTGAATGAAACGGTGCCCAGGTTGAAAGAGCTCCTGAGGGTCGCTGAATCTGTGCATTGATGACTGAAAGACATCTTCTGCCTCCATTTATCTGTTTACAACAGTGTGTTGAATTCATGTTAATGTGGATTTAAAGACATTTCAATTAGTGGAAAAAAATTGCAGTGGGGAATATAAAAAAAAGTCTAATCAACCAAAACTTTTGCTACCCCCATGCAGTACCTCCATGGCCCCCCTAGGGGTCACGGACCCCCTGTTGAAGACCTACGCCTTAGAGGTTAAACTATAATTTGGCTTTTCATATTTCCTTGGCTTATCTTCTCTTGATATTAAAGGTGTGTAATGAATTCAAAAAATAAGGCGTGACAAAGCTTAAAACCTTTAACACAGATACAAGAACTTTTTATTCTAAAATTCCAGTCATCTTCCTCTTCTGCATTTTGTGTTCTTACTTGGATCTTTTAAGGTCAAGTTTCACCTTCTCACCTCTATTTAAAATCAGGTTTGAGGCAGAATGTGAAGTGGGTTTTCATGCAGAGTCCTCTTTCTCTGGGTCTCCAGGCCTGTATGGTCTGCAGCCGAGGGCCCTAATCCTCCCACAGTCTGCAGATAATACGTGGTTAATTAGGGTCACACTGACTAGGACACTCATTGGAGCTCCCCTGCGGATGCTAGCAACCTACATGTCCTTCAGAACAACCAATACTGCTCAGCCCATGGGCTTTTTTTTTTTTTATTCTTAACTTTATTTAGTTTAGCAACTGAAACTGTCTGAGGCGCAGCCTGTGTCATATCAGTGGGAAATGGCCTGAAATTCAAAATTTGAGGTAGCTAATTCATCCTGAGGAAGCAAAGATTGAAGGCTAGTGATGACAAATAGACACAGTCTTTTAAAAAATAAAAGGCCAAAACAGGATAACAGAGGGAGGTAAAACAAGGAAACAAACAGCAATTCGGTCTGACAATTAAGGAAACAGTAGGCGCCTGTGATTTACAGCCTGTTACCTGTGTATAGACAATTCCCAGCGTAGAGCACATCCGCGTGTTGAGGCGCATGCCAAACCACTTTTACCTCTCTGCTTACAGCCAGTGGTGTAAAACGATCCCTTATTAGTGGGAGGACATTGGCCCCGGGAGGGGATTAAAGTCGTTTATTGATGCACTTCATCCAGCACTTTGGGGGGCTTTGACACTTGGCTCATCAAGCAGACAGATATGTCAGAGAGCCTCTACCTCCACTTATCAGGTAGTGCAGCTCCCCTGGCATCGTGGACACTGAATGCTGGCCAAAATGAGAGGAGTGACAGGAGGAAATCTGCTTTCAAGGGTTCATGTTTTCCTTTTAGGCCCAGATCTGAAGGAAGTGGAAAACTGGCAGACCCTTCAATAGATTGTGTTAAACTCTTTCAAATGATTTTCAACTCTTTCTTTTCCATGTATTTTTTTATTCTGACAGTATTTACACACCCAATGTGATTAAGCAGCAGTTTGATCTACTACCCCTCTATTACTACCTCCACCAAAAAAAGTGAAAAATAATAACAATAATAATAATGCAGAGAAACAACAAGTTTAAATATTGAAATGTTAAGTTCAGCTATAAATCTTTTTTAATTGAAAAATTAACCCTATTTTTCTTATTCGTCTAAACACTTTTCTTCTTATTAATATGTTCTTATTCTGTTATATCTCATTATAGTTTCAGTGTACTTTAGACTTCATGTAATAAGAAGTGACACATTTAAGTTACGCAGTAAATTTTGCATTGTTAAAGTAATACTTTAAGAGTGCATTTGGTCCCATTTGGCAATTAGTATTAAATTAGAACTCTACTTAGTGTATATTTTACTCCAGTAAAGAGTCAAATGGATTCACAATAGGTACACAGTAAATTCCACAGTGTTAAATATGCAATGTCAAAGTACATTAAGTGCTGGAACTTCAGGCAGTGCAGTACATAGCTCTATTTTTTTTACATATGAATTAATTTAAATATTTGTTTGGTCCAATAATGTCTTAGTTTCTTACATTTTTTTTTCCTTTAGTTTAATCTCCTTCAATAAAAAAAACTATGGCAACATAAAGAAAGACCAATGGACGTTTCATACCCAGAAAAAAGAAGAAAATGTGAAATGCTTTTAGCAAAGAGAGGCACAGATGTTCACTGCTTTATTATGAGAAATGCAGCAATGTTGCCCTGAAAAAAAAATTCCATGATATTCTATATCATTACATCCATAAAATTCAATTTCTTTCCACTTAAGGCAAACTATGAAAAGTTTAAAATTTGAAGTTTAGAAAATTATAATTATTGCAAAAATGTTTACTGATAAAAATATAAGGATGTATTATTCTGCACATTTAGTCTCTGCTGTGCAGAGCGAGGTAAAAGGTGTCCTAACATGGCCTTGTTTCTAAAGATGCTGGAGGCACATCTGGAAAGAAATGAATAGATGTGTTACTTTTAATAAGCCACATTAAGCCGCTCTGTGTCACTATAATAACAAGGAGCCGGAGTAGACTGAGGTAAATTATAGCAGCTCAATTTACATTTAAATATTACATTTCAAGTATTTTAATTCCTATACAAGCTGGGCTAAGCAATATTAGATTGCTATTGTTATTTAAAACTAGCTGTAGTATTAATGTTAATTATGAT